TGGCAAGTATTGCGGTATTTGTACCAGCAACATTGTAACGGGGGAGCGGGGAATACGGCTGGATATGCGTATAAATATTTGATTGCCTTAAACTTCAGCCACTTTTAATCAGCGTCCGCGTGTTATTTGTCTAGGATTGTCTGAAAAACTATCGGTTGTATAAAGCATGAATTATTGTACAATTTTAGCCCATTGTCACATTTTATAAATACTGAATTTCTATAAACACATCAAAAAGATATTATATTAAAAATATTAAAAATTTATGTTAAAATATGCAGAACATTTTGATAATTACAGTTAGTTGATTAGTTTGTTGGCGTCATATGATTAACGTAATGTGCGTATAAATCGCGACATGGCGAGAAAAGTATGCGCGGAGACAAGAGCTTTAGCTCGTTTTCATAAAGAATATACAGGTCTGAGTTATCGACAAATAGCCGTTCGATGTGGAATATCAAAATCAACAGCGCACACAATATGTCGGAAGCAAATTAACCGTGTCAGTACATGCATCCGCAAGCCGAAAGGTCGTCCAAAATCTTTAAACGAAAGGGATGGAAGACTTCTACTTAGAGTTTTAAAGTATTACAGAAGAGAATACGTTAACTTCTCAGTAAAAGATCTAATGGTAGAATGTGGATTTGACTCACAGAGAGTGCATCAAAGAACAGTTTCCAGATACCTTAACCGAAACGGCTTCTACATGAGGCAAGCAAGGAAGAAGGGACTTTTAAATGACAAAGATAAACGACTCAGACTTTCCTACGCGCGTGAAATGACAAGAGTTTTACGTGACCACCCAGATTACTACACTAATCACGTGGCTTTCTATCTGGACGCAGTATCGTTTGTACACAAGAACGACCCTCGTAAGGCAGCAATTCAACCGAAATCGCGAGTGTGGAGAAAGAAAGGGGAAGGGCTTGCCGTCACTGCGAAAGGCAGCAAAACTCTGGCAGGTGGGAGACGCCTTCATGTTCTTGCAGCCATCGCTTGGGGCGAGGGTATCATCCTCAGCAAGGTCTACGATAAAATGAACGGTGATTTTTTCGCAGAATTTGTCCAAAATAACTTTAATTTGTGTTTTGGAAAAGCAGGACCTAAAACCGGAAGAAAGAGATTGTTTGTTATGGACAATGATCCTTGCCAAACAAGCAAAAAAGCCATGTTAGCTTTAACGCAGATTGAGTGCAATCTTCATCGCATTCCACCGCGTTCTCCAGATATTAATCCTATCGAGAACGTGTTTCATTTGGTGAAAAAAATACTGCACAGGGAAGCGATAGAAAAGAATATCACTAAAGAATCCTTTGATGCATTTAAGACGCGTGTCCTGCGTTGTCTCAACACATTTAAAATCACGACCATTGACAAAACAATTGGGAGCATGCCAAAACGAAGTGAGGAAATTAGATCCTCAAGAAGGAAAAGATCGAAATACTGACTAAAAACAGTAACTTTCAACTATATTAACAATTAGTATCATATTATTTACTGTTATACGGATAATACACAGTAGTCAAAATATTTTACACACACTATATATATAGCCTGTAATGTATACATGCTTAATAAGCATAGTGAGCATATTCTGATAATACTCTTAATGTGTAAATTTTTAGCACAAAATTGAAGAATTAAATCTTTATCATAATCTGCTTGTTATATCTGTGGCCGTAATGGTTATAGTGGAGGTTACGCGCTAACTTACACGATAAACGAAATATTTTGCTTTTCGGACTTCTCGGCGGACGGTAAACACACGCCATGAAATTTAACCTGTCACAGTGCCACACTTGCCAATAAATTTCTATTTCACATGCTTTCTTATAGCCAAATGATCTACATTGTACTTATGATAATACACAGTAAATATTTGGAATAAACAGCAAAATATCACGGTAAACATCGGAGGACTCCCATTATAAATATAATTACTCAATGACTCTTAATTATTCTGCAACTATCGCTTTTCAATGTTTACCGTGGGCATTTTAAATATAAGCGTTTAGAATTAATATGTTTCATAATACTATAATCGCATACAGTTTTTACACAACTACATATAAAATAATTCTCACAAGCTTCTTTCTATCATGCGTTAAAAGGTTAAGAGATAGACAAACGCTACGGTAAACATTACGCGATTCAACACGGTAAACAAAATATGCAACAAATATCAATGCTTATTACTATACATAATATGATTATAAGAATTATTTTATAATCACAAAACGGTAAAATACTGTCAAATGAATATGTTTGTTTTTGTCTCTGACTTTATTTACAATTGAAGCACTAATGTTGCGAAACATCTTGGGCATGGCAGGATATCTTGCCGCTGCTGTTCTAAAGGTATCGCATAATTAAGGCAGAAAACCTTCCACCTAACACCTATCATGTCGGTCTCACGGTCATCGACTATGCCATTCTTGATGAAAATCAATGGTCGCTTGCTCGTACAAAAGATAGGAGTGTCTTTCGTGAACTCGATATCTTGCGTAAAATGGGTTTTCGGAGCTGGTAGGTGAACAACTTCCCCCTCTAACATCAACAACAAATCATGCCACGGTATAACTTGGGGGCTCCAGCGAAAATCGTTAAGAAATATGCACTCGGCATCTTGTATTCCGACCCACGCAAAACTTCCAGTTGCTAGATTGCAGAACGTATGGTACACGACCTTTAGTGGCTTAAGGAGAAAGGTCTTTCCGCAATTAGCTGGGCCAACGATCATTACATAATGATGTTTTTTGCGACCAATAGTTAGGCTTTCTCGTACTGAATTAGCAAAACAAGATATATCTATGCCATTGTTCTGCAAAACCTCTTTCGCACACTGCAGCCAATCACCATTGCATCCAGAAACACAATCTGAGTTTGAAGCTTCTTGAAGGAGATCCATGCGACTCTTCGTAGATCGTGCAATCTTTTCTCGCGCCCCTTTCATCTGCCATGTCGTGCTAAGTATGTCTGCTAGCGTTTTAGGTGACCTATTTAAAATAAACTCCACAAGATCTGTCTTTCCCTGTTCCCGCTGTTCTTGTGCAAGTGCGTGAAGTTCCGTTTCTGTCTTGATGTTCTTGCTCAAAATTAAATTTGACACATCTAATGGCGTTAGACGCTTCTTTCTTGCTTTTCCAACTCGCTTTGGTTTCTTCTTCGTTTTAGTTTGAGTTTTGATGACCGCTTTGCCTCTAAGGTTTCTCTTTCCTATGCTCGCCTTACTGGTCTTCGGAACATCAGTATTTACTAGATCTGGGTGCCCATTACTCTCTTCGTATGCTTCATCACTCTTCGTAACATAGCGCCATGCACTATAATAATCATGATGAATGTTGGAATAATGAACGCTGACACCAAACTGTTCTAAAAGGTATCTTTTGGAGGGAAGCCATCTCTGTATTTTGTTGAGCTTCAGCGCCATGTGGTAATGTTTCCCACCGTCATTATGGCTTTCAAGACTACAACACCAGTGAAGTACAAAACTACAAAATATTATGATCTAGCTATTACAGTAAAATGAATCAATATTTTAATACACTAGTGCATGTATAAAAGCGTTTGCTTTGCAAAATAAGTGACCATTTGATCAATCACGAAATGGTGTATTATGGTTCATGACTGGTGAAGATTATGTACTTTTGGGATGGATCCAGCCTAATGAAATAGGAGTGGATGTTGATCATCGTGTGGGGTGTGGCCATGCACCCAGCAACCAGAATGCATAAACAGTGATGATCGGTGGGTGCAAAACTTGTTGGGCGAGGGGCAACATTTTTCCAGGGTCTCTGTGACAATAAATTACCTGAACAATATAACAAGAACTTGATTTTTTGGGCAGACTCTTGTCTGGAAGAAATCCTACATGCCTGATGTAGGCCTACTCTGGGGCGGTAAATCGCCTTAAATCGCCGTGATATAATGCGATTTTGGGCGATTTTAGGCGATTTAAGGAAAAACTGGGACTTTCAAGCACTGCGATTAATGCGATTTTAGGCGATTTAAGAGAAAATTCTAAATTTTAGGGATTGCAATTTAGGTGTTTTCAAGGTAATTGAATTTTATATTTTGCTCCGGTTTCCTCCCACAAGGCAAAATATGGCAGGGTGGGTTAGAATAAACACAGTTAGAGAGTTTTTGAGAATAAGTTAGATTCCGTTATTAGCAAATTTGTAGACGGGCACTCAAATATAAACCAACTTAAACATGATCTCTCTTGTGAAAAAGAAAAAAGTAATCGCCTTCAATCTGATCTTGCTTTGCTAGTAAGAGAACGAAATATTGAGGTTGAGGAACTTAATGAAATAATAACTTCCCTTCAGGGAAAAATTAGTACTGTTGAAAAGATTAATGACCAACTACGATCCTCAAATATGTGCATCAATTTGGAGACAACGAACAATATTAAACCTAACCACATTGATGAGAAGTCTGTCTCCTTTAATCGTATAAAGTTGGCAATTTCTAAACAAAGCCAAACCGAACATCAAGATAACAATAACCGCTCATTTAACGATCTTCAAGTGGCCGAGTTTAAAGACACCTACGCTTCTCTTCAGACAGAACCAAATTTAGTGCCCGCACCAGATATTAGCGGTACCAATGTTTCTTTTATGGCAGAGAATAATCGAGAAATTAGTTGTAACAGTGCCGAGTGTCACATACCTGTTATTAACAATCAATGTGCTGCCTTATTGCGAAGTCCAACTGAATGTTCTCAACCGAGCGAAAATGATAGCCTATCACATAAAGGGCCTAAATCAACCAAGCATACAACAACATACACTAAATCGAAATTACTTAATCCAGAAGGAATCACGCATTACGTCGGCAAGCCAAGTAAACACTACGATAAACACCATAAACTAAGTTATTCTGATTGGATAAGTCGACTCCCTTTGATTGAGCAGTTTCCTAAACAGCTAAACCAACATGATGAAATAAAAGGCAAAGCGAACAAACAAGGAAAAACTCATTTTAAGATATTACAGAATGGACTCGCGAAACCCCCACGATCGCAAAAGGGTATTCATTTCCTTCTGATGCGTACACCTGTTACTCCCCCAAGAGGAGTAGCACATCAAAATTTTCGGACACGGCGTTCGTACCACCGTGCTCCGGATTGGTACAGACATTTAGATCTGGTCAGCCGGATAACCAGAATGAAACATTGCCGTCCTATACTATCCCCGTCCGAGTTTCCCATCGTTATACGAGAGTGACCCGTTCAAGTTATTACCCGTCAGGGAAAAGTTTCAACCGTAGAAATAATTTAATTTACATTAGTGGCCACCAAACCAAAAAAAACGCCCTTACTCTCTTCTCTAACGAATTTATTTGTTTCTAATTCAAGATCGCTGATCAGCAAGATTGACGAACTGTCTGCTACAGTAAAATTCTATACATCAGACATTGTCGTTGTTACCGAAACGTGGCTTTCTTCAAATGTTCCCAATTCAGCAATAGATTTATGCGGTTATCCCTTACTGAGGCATGATCGTCAGGCCTTAAAATATCGGTCGGTCACGGACATTGTCCGACCAATTCGTGAAATTGTCCGACGTAGAAAGGAAACCACCGGACATTCTGTCCGACCTAGGTGAAACTGAGGTTTATTGTTTGTCAGACCCGACTCACCCGAGTGTATTAGTGTCCGACCGAACTGTAGCTTTGTCCAACGTAAATCAAAATGTACCCTAGCCCAGGACAAGAAAATTGTGTGTTAAATAGAAAATCAGAGAACTATTGTATAAAAGGTCAACTGGAAATGTTGTTTTAATGTAGTCGAGCACGGGGCGGCGATCGAAATGGTGAAGTGGAAAACGGGCTTAAGTTGTCGAAGTCTTTTTGATACTGCTGTTCTGGAAAGCAAGTTAATTTTGGCTTGGAAATAAGTATGAAAGAAACAAATTATTTAATATTTTTACAACATTTACCGTTTATTCATTTGGGTCAGTCAGACTTATTTCCGAGTCAAAATGAACTGAAGGTCATCGGACATATGTCCGACCCAAACTCAACGTCACCGGACATTTTGTCAGACGGCCCTGGAAAAGATATTTTAAGGCCTGTGATCGTTCTGACGGCAGACGAGGAGGTGGAGTCTGTGTCTATGTAAAGGACATGCTTCCTTTCATTCATCTTAAAGAGATTGAAAGTCACGAATATGAGTCGCTTTGGTTACTCTTAAAACCTCACCGCTTGCCTCGTGGTTTAAACTCAATTGTATTGGGAATCGTGTACCATCCACCTGGAAGTGACGATAAAGCCCTTCTTTCACACCTTACCGAATCAATTGATTCTGTCCTTTCCACCAATCCCGGTGCAGGAATTATTTTGGCCGGAGATTTTAACCAATTTAAACATCGCCAGTTATGCAGTTCCTTTAACCTCAAGCAGTTAGTCAAAGACGCGACTAGAGGAAAGAATATTTTAGATAAAATATTTACCAACATTTCTAAATTTTATAATTCTGCCCTGGTAATTTCTCCAATTGGACATTCCGATCATAATTCCATCGTTCTTAAACCTCTTCCAGCTAACTCTTATGGTGGCACAAGGTCTACACGTTTAGTACGAGACTCTCGCCCAACCAATCGTCGAATTGTTAGCGATCATCTGTCGAAAGTTAATTGGTTACCTTTGCACCATATGGAATCTTGTGACGAGCAGTTCCAGTATTTTTCCACCATCGTAGATAATATCATAAACGAACATTTGCCTTGGAAACAAATCAAAATTGATTCTAGTGACAAGCCCTGGATTACTTCCGAAATAAAATCTCTCATTTCCAAGCGGCAGACAGCATGGGCGGCAGGCAATAACCTGATGTTCAGATTCTATCGAAACAAAGTCAATGCACTTTGCAAGAAGGCACGACTAAATTATTACAATAAAAGTATCGCGGGCGTTCAACAGTCTGATTCTCGTAAATGGTGGTCAGCGGTGAAGAATATTGCCGGTCTTCAGTCTTCTAAGAATGTATCTACAATGATGTTCCAAGGTAAATCCTACTCTGATGCCGATTTAGCAAATTTGCTCAACGACAAGTTCGTTGCTGTAGGGTCTTCCTTACCCAATCTAAACTGGCTCCCCCTTCCCACAAATGACATTCCAGATGATTTCTGCATCTCTGTCGAGGAGACTGAAAAGGCCCTATTATCATCTAAACTTCATTCATCTGCTGGTCCCGATGAAATTCCTTCTTGGCTTCTCCGGGAAAATGCTTCAGTGTTGTGTCGACCTTTGTGTTCTATTTTTAATTCATCAGTTCGTGAAGGATTTGTTCCCTCAATATGGAAGGCAGCAAATATTACACCAGTTCAAAAATCTTCGCCTCCTAAAGATATTGATTCTGACTTCAGACCAATTTCCCTCACATCAATTATCAGCAAGATTCTTGAATCCTTTCCCTACAAATGGCTACTTGACTCCGTCTCAAAAAAAATTGATTCCTTGCAATTTGGTTCGCTGAAGGGTTCAAGCACTAGTATGGCATTAATCTACATGCTACATAAATGGTTTGAAGCAGCTGACAAACAAGGCAACACTATACGGATTTGTTTACTTGATTTTTCCAAGGCGTTTGACAGATTAGATCATAACATTCTGTTGGAAAAATTGAAAGACATGGAAATTCATCCCGTGTTACTCAACTGGATCGCAAACTTCCTAACAGGCAGACAACAAAGAACCCGTGTTGGTCAGTTCTTTTCTGAGTTGAAGTTTTTAAACGCCGGCGTCCCACAAGGAACGAAGCTTGGCCCGCTATTATTTTTGATCATGATAAATGACTTGGCTGTAGCGGATGAAACTGTTAAATTTGTCGATGATACTAGCCTCTGGGAAATAATATCAAACAATTCCCCTTCCCAGTTACCCGCTAACATCATCAGCTGCTCTGAATGGTCATCAGACAATAATATGAAGTTAACGTATCAAAGACCAAAGAATTGCGTGTCTGCTTTTCTAAGCTTACTCCATCGTTTGCCCCTATTACCATTCGCGGTCAAGAGGTCGACGTCGTTTCCGAGGCCAAACTTTTGGGCGTTGTCCTTTCGGATGACCTCAAATGGAACTGCCATATTGACTACATTTGCAAGAAAGCCGCGAAGCGTTTGTACGGTCTGCGCCTTCTTAAAAGAAATGCTTTACCTTCTCATATTCTGATTTCAACCTATTGTACACATATTCGACCAATTGTCGAATATGCTTGTCAGGTGTGGCATTATGGCCTTCCTCATTACCTGAGTGATCAAGTTGAAAAAATACAAAAAAAGGCATTAAAAATTATTTTCCCTGGAACTATATATGCTGAATGTTTGCTTAAAGCTAACTTGATGACTCTTTACGAACGTAGAACTGTTCTTTGCAAGCGACTTTTTTCGAAGATGTTGGAACCCACTCATAAACTGAATGCCTTAGTACGGCCTAAAAGTCTTCAAACTTATAATCTGAGGTCTGATCCCAACTTATTAGTACCTAGGTGTAGAACTGAACGTTTTTCGAACAGTTTCATTCCTGCTGGGTCTCGTGCTTATAATAATAAGTAAACTTTAGATTATTATCGCTATTTTTATCTAACTTACCTATTTTTACCTGTAAATATAGAATATAGATTGAATACCTATTATGTTCTTATACCCTTTAATTCCAAAGTAATTCAGTTGTTACTGCTAGTTTGGAAATTTATAATAATAATAATAATATGCACATTTATCTAATAATTGCGGGTAATTATATGAAAAATTTCCACGCGCGAAAAGATTTTGCGGGCATAATTTTTTCTAAGGCCGCGGCTGAGGGTGGTTATGAATAGAAGGAATTGGGGTATGCCTTATTACATGCTAGATTTCAGCAATTAACGTTAGGTAAAAGCAATTTTAATTTGATAGCGCTGTGCCGACAAAGCTATTGTGTTATCGGATTGGGAATATTTGTGTATAAATATTAGCTGATATACAGTGTGTCTAAAAACACAAGCAAACTTTAGCATGAATTTGTGCGTTAATTAATTACTCGCCGCCGTTTTGAAAAACAGCGGGATCTGCAAACTGAGTTTGCAACTTCAGGAAGCGAGCAACGCTAATCGCATTATTAATTGCCGCTATAAGATGTCATCAATCCAGGTTCAATTGCTTAAACGCAGTGTCAAACCAAGCAGGTAATTTTCTGTTATGCATAGCATGAATAGTTGCTGTTAGAGAATAACGTGAATAATATTCAACCTATAGATTTTATTTATGTTCAAAGTGTGGCATGATAATTCCATATCGAAACGTCGAAACGTATTTGCCGTTTTCATTAATCCGGGCAGTATAAAAAGTGCGGCGGCTTCAATGGCTTATATACGTATACCGCCTTTCCCTAGGCCCTAGTGCACACATGAATCTGGCACAAACGTTTTCACCATTTTCACCAAGATATATATCTACTTATTATTGCAAAAACAATAGCTGCATTGACACCATTGTCTTAACTATTTTACGGAATTTACGCCCGCGCCTGCGTTGTGGGGTAAAGAATAATATAAGGCTCCTTTTAAGCTTCCACTGGTTAAGAAAAGATGGGACATCTTCCTTATCTGACAGCAAAAAAGGGACAACTTTCCGACACAAGAGTTTATATAGTTAAAAAATGCCCTGGTTTTAGTGGGTTTCAGTAAGTGTTATACGTGGGGAAACACAACTTTACATGCATGTATTGAAGAGTTCATATGCCTACATAGGTAGGCTGTCAAATTGGTAAATTGCGTGCATGTGCATTTGCGTGCATCTCGTTCATACGCAGAGTAATTCAGGTGCAATAGCGCGCTGAAGTTGGATTAACTTTTTTGATGCACCTGTAGAGAACAATTGAGCAAATAATTATGAGTCCGATAAAAATTGTTTGTCGAATCTCATATATTCTCACCGCTGCGCCTAATTAAAGCAGTGTATAAGAGAACGCATTATATTGATACATAGGATGTATCAAAAAACCTGCTAAACAGGCCTAATCCATGCTAACTAACAATGTTTGTAGAATTTGCATGATTCAGAACTATCTGGCCAAGCGTACGTATAGTAATTTCCATCAACGCGGTTAACTAAGTTATGGGCAGCGCAGCAAATCAGAAGCAAAATAAGTAGCACATACAGGGTGTGTAAAAAAACTGATTCCTTCGCGGCTAATTTGAATAACAAAGATATCAGTTTTTTATTCACCCTGTACATTGAAATGC